CCTCAAATAAACAGTTCAACTCTCTTTGAAAGATAGTGTGAGATCTGCCGTTTTGCGCAGAATAATAAAAAATGAACAGCAGAGGGCAGAGTTTCACATGTTCAGCTTGCCAACTAGTAAATACACAAAATGTACAATCCTACTGTACAAATATTTAGTCAAACACAATTACACATAATGCAATTGTATAGAAATGCAATAAATTGCATGCAGTATAATCCCATACATTAGTAAAGACTAGTATCCCATTCCTCGAAACCCACAAAGCAACAGAACCTCATAATTCTGAGAACATTTCATGTTAAAAATCATTCCTTGTCTTGTTTAAATACAAAAAAGAATGGCTTACAGGAAAGTTTTTAAATTCTGAAAGAACTTTACTTTGAAGGGGACTGTACTTTTACTGAATTCAAGAACCAAAACAAAAAGGTTGCAGAGAGGAAAGTAACAGAAAGAAATGCATTTGAAGAAAATAGCCTTTTAATACTAATGCACATAGATGTCCATGGTTTTTGTCTATTAGATCTTTCCAGTAAGACACAAAAACCATTTAAATGAATTCCATTAGCATTTTTACATTACTGAGCGCATTGAATTGTACAGGGTCATGTGTCACTGTGTTGTTGTTTCCTGCTGATGAAATTTAGATATTGAAAAATAAAGTACAGAAAAAGTCATTAGCTGATGTACACACATTAAGATTTTCTTGGGACTTCCCTTACTGTAATACACAGAGTCCTTGAATGAAATTGCCTATGTATGAAATGTATTAGTAAACACAGTATTGATTTACTGGGCAGTGCGGTGGCACTCTGGCTAAGGAAGATTGCCGGTCTGTATCCCGCGGTCGGCAGAGGAATCCTACTTCTCTCCCTGTCTGTGTGTCTCATGGAGAGCAAGCTGGGGTCTGTGAAAAAATACACATTCCTAATGCAAGAAATTGTATAGGGCTAATAAAGTGAACGTATCTCTTATGTTAAGTACTGTAGAAACCCACCTTACAAGATCTTTCATTTTTTCCATTCTGCAGATCCGAACATGACTCCCCCTACTCAGGGCTGTGGGTGAGGAAACGTCTCCCATTCTCTGTTTTAAATGCACTTCCATCTAGTTTCCACTTTTCCTCTGGTTTGGGTTTCACTGTTCGTTCTGAAGAATTATGATGTGTGCTGTTTGTCAGTGCCTTTGAGCATCAACCTACATCCCTAATGATCTAAGACCATCAGAAGAATATCAGAACCATTAGTAACAATAGGAGGCCATTCAGTAGCTAGTTGACCAATCGGTTTCTGATTCAGTTTCTCACCAATCAGTTTCTGGAAATAAACAGAACCAACCACCTGACCGGGTAGCTACCAACTGGCTTGGGTTTGATGAACTGAAAAACTGAAGAACTATGCCCCCCCGCCCCCGAGTCAAACAGCTTATTAGCTAGGGTTTGGCTGGTGGATTGATTCAGACACCCAGATCTCTTTGTCTAAAAGGTGCCTTTATGCTACGCCATAAATGCCCTTCTCCATTGTTTGCACTTGTGGTTTCAGATTTCTCAGCTCCATAGAGTTGACTGTGCCAATCCCTTTGAGGACATGGGGAAATACTCATAGTTTACTTCTCAGGGTTACAAACATTCAGTAAACAAAGACAAAAAGACTGAGGAAATTAGCCTTGCAAAGGGTAGGAGTTGTCTGTCTTGCTACAGAGCAGAAAACCTGAGAGGCACAATGAGACAGCAAGACGTTGGGAAAAATATAGTGTGTTACATCTGCGAATTCCAGATTAAATACAAAATTAATTAGATGGGTTTAAATGGGTAGAAGTGGGGAAATGCTGTCTGATGTACAGGGTTCTTTGCATGTTTTGTACACTAATAATTGCATTGAGCAAACACATAGACATCTAATGCAGCATATTGTTACAAGCTTCGAGGCATCAATAAATAAGAGGAGGTTAAAGCTATAAAAATAAGATTATAGTCTGACATGCGCAAGCAAGTTCTAAAAGTTAACAGTTACACACACCCCATTGTCAGAGAATACTGAGAGGTTACACTTGCTGGCTCGTGATTTCTTTGTTCCGGTCAGAGTGAGATGGTAGAGTAATAAACAAGGCAGCGAGCTTAAACGACACATTTACAAATAGTATATTAACACTCAACACACAGTGTTCACTACTATTATTTACAACATTGTACAAGACCTGTGAGAGATGTGAACTCAATTTTGTAAATGAGGTACAATGAAGTAAATGAAGACCTAGCACAGAATTAAATCTCTATACAGAGAAAAACTAATTTTTCTCCATATTCCAACAAACAAAACTACTTTTTCTCCATATTCCAAAGAGCATTAGTAAACAAGTGAGAGATTTCTTTAATGTGGTAGGTACCACAAAAAGCATATATAAATTGGCACAACTATAGGACAACAGTCCCTTGCTTAAATCCTAAAATCAGTCTGTCTCTTCAGTGCTGAGATTACTTGGACATGTAATGTCCTGGCCTATTAAGCTGACATGAAATTTCTCAAAGCCATCTCTATACTCCCTGGTGTTGTAAGGATAAGGACAGATACCTAAGAATGATTATGATGTTGGAATTTTCTTGTTGTCGCACATCTCTTCACAACAGCATAGGATCTCCTAAAGCCTAGAACACACTGCTTCTAAAAGTGCACCGTCTTTCCCTTTCACGCGTTGCAGGTTATGGCCACTGTATTGATTTTATAGACTAAATCCGTAAACTGAATAAAGATATACCGTACAGTAGCATTGCTTTGTACTGCTTTTGAAATCCTTGCTGGGGTCCGATTATAAAGTCCGCACTAGAAACTGAAAGTAAAGAGCCTGGATTCCATCAAGTTGCACGGAGTGAAACACTCTGAACCACTTAAGGTTCTGCAAATTGTATTTGTGGAAAGAAGAGACGCTATTTACAGGCCATTAACACAGCTCGTCCAACAGTCACTTCCGACAGAAAACTGGAAATGGGCACTTCCAACAGAGAATTGCTAATTGCTAGCGCAGGGCCTACCCGCTAAGAGGTTGGCCAAATCAAACCAAGGGATTTCTTACTGTCTATCACACGTAACGTCCTGGAGTTGTTTTTTAGAAGCAGATCGTGCTGAAAGAACCTTTGTGATCTGTGAATTGTCATTTCTCACTCCTCTCCCTGCTCTGCTGTGCAGTTGTTCTCCTGGTTGAACGGCAGCTGTGTATCTCCCAGGCGGGGCCGCACTACAGTGGAGGATAATCCTTCGACACCAAAAGAGCCGGTGGATGAAATTTATTCCATCCTTCCATTTTCTACCTGCCCTATCCAATACAATACCTTTTTTTCCCCAGAAAACTCTAATCCAGCCTGATTGAATTAGTTCAAGTAAGGAGCTCCGTCAGCAGGCGCAGGCTGCAAAGGAACAGGTAAATTTCTTCCATGCTGAAAAGAGAAGAAAACACAACATTTCTTGGGGTGTGAAGGCTGCACAGACGAAACGTTGTGTTTCTTTTCTTCTCTTTTCAGCCTGGAATAAACCTTCACCTGTTCCTTTCTGATTTCCTTTCTGATTTAGTGTTGATTAAAGGTTAGCATCTTGCAGCGGAGCCCTTGTCAATCTCTTGTTGAAGGTCTTCTGTGCACAGTGAAGTGAGATACTTTCACCAGTGGCTTCTTTCTTTCAAGACACTGCATGTTGTTGATTTTTCAATGCCAAATGTCTCTGCAGTGGAATTTTCTTCGAATACCAGATGGCCCTAATTAAGAACAACAAACATTACGGTGGTTGTTTCTAAATGGAAGTTTTATTTCTGTTATCAAGTGAAAGACTCATTATAAGGAGGCAGGACTGGGTTTTAAGTCGAGCGATGTATGTAGAGCACACACTGCTGCATACTACATTTGTGGCTGCTATTACAAAACCATTCGGTTCCGTGTCTGTAAAATCTGTTTCTGAAAAAGTTGGGCAGTTTTCTGTTGGGATGAGCTCTGGGCTGCCCTGACATTAACCAGGATAAAAGAGGAAAAAGAGCTTTCTGATAACGTGTTGGCTAAAACGTTCATTATATTTCAATTTATTGATTTTCTTTTTACTTAACATCATGAAACAGAGCTGCACTTGAAAATTCCTACATAATTGTGAATGTACTGAAATAAACAATACCTATAGTGTCTGTAGATTGCAAGAATCTAAAACACAATATGACTCTTTTTGATTGTCACATAGTGTAGTAGGTGCAATCACAGAATATCAATCTACTCCACACAGAATGCCAGGGATGGTAAAGTGATGAAGATGGGTTACTCTGGTGCTGTGTTAGATTGGGTACTGTCTTAAATTTGGTCCAAGCTTGATGTTAAAAAAGAGTAGTATCCCACTCCACCTAATTTTGAGGATTCTGTCAAAACCAAACAAAAAAATTGAAATGTAACTTTACCCTGTCCGGGGATTTTTCCCCCGAGGCGCGTGTTGGGATGCCTTTTAGTTTGAAAGGTAATGCGAGGAAGAAGACAGTTTTGTTTTTTATTTATGCAACGGAGGAAGACGGTTCCTGTTGCCAAATGTTAGCAGCTTCACAGCATTGTGGGCCGCCTACCGTGCGGTAAAATACCCTGCAATCTTAAATTTTGTTTTGCCACCGCTGCCACCGGAGTGTATAAAGGTCTCTGCTTAAAATGGCTGTCGCCCTGAGCCCATTAACCATATGCTATATAAAGGGTTACTTTATTTTGAGGGTGACAGCTGAGAAGATATTCTGGTCTTTCCTGTGGAAACATTTCTGCCAGAATATTTCATGACTCCTTCTTCATTATTTGTACTAGTAACTTGACAATATAAGAGACTTTAAATATGAAGTTTTAGTATGCATGTTATTTTATCTTATCTGTCGCTCAGTTTCTAAGCAGCTGATCCTTCGCGGAGCTAGAATTAAGTAACATTTCCTGTCTTGCTATTCAGAGTTTAGTAAGTAAACATTTGCACGATTTAAATTAATGCTAGTTTATTGGGGGGGTTTTATGAAACGGGAAACACACAAACTTTTGCATTAATAAAACAGAGTACAGCGGATCATGTTTCTTTTGTAAATCATGCAAAAATTGCCCATCTTAAGTTGTGTAGCGCACGTTTCGGGTCCTGTGCCCTCGAAACAATGCAAATTCAGCGTCACAAAAGTCACACAATAATAATAATAATAATAATAACATGCATGTAACTCGATGTATCTGAACTCCTCCTGTTGTTGTAACCTGTTCTAATAGCCTTAAGAACAGCCTATTTATGCAGTCTTTTTAAGACGTGGCCAGAGTCTTGTTACACGTTAAAACTTGTCTCCAAACAGGTGCCGGGGGACAAAAAAAGAAGACAAAATGTACAGTATAACACCGTGCTCTTCGCCTTACGGCTGTATGAACTTGTAGAAGAAACGGCGATTTATGGTCAGGAACTTCGTGACGCTTCAGACACCAGGCATCACGCAGCATTTGAAGTCTCAAAATGACTAGCGTGAAAATAAAGTGACGTCACCGCCCTTCCCTGTGATGGCAGGACTACATCTCTCTTTAGCTCACCGGGCTGGGTCCCTGCTGAGTGACGCGGGAGTCCCGGGTTCGAGCCCCCGGCGGTGCGGGGCGGACCTCATGCGGCCAGGGCGCCCACCTGAACCCCCGTTGCGTTACAAGATTTCAATATCTGTCGAGGTTACCGCTCTGTTTCTAAGTAGCAGCTGATCCTACACGGGGCTCGGATGAAGTTGTATCTGCTGTTTTGCGATTCAAGTGAAGTTGAGTTTACTACCTCCAACTATGAGCTTGCCATTCGAGTTGAGTTGTTTTGCTATTCAGATTTCCTAAAGTAAACCATTTGCACGATCAAAAATGAATGTTAGTTTATTTATTTTAAAAAAAACGGTACTAGATCGCTCAGCTGATTTCCATTATCGACCTGGTCCGTCCACCCTGAGCTTTCCGCCGCCCTGCTTGTTTATCCAGTAACCACCACTCCCACTTCCGTTGGGGAGTGGGTTGATCACCCCGCAGAGACCCTCGGCATTTTGGTTTCTCCTGCTTGTGAGGGTGAGACGTCGGGAGATTTTCCTCCCCGACTTGACCGAGACGCAACTTTTTCTGCCCAGTCCATCGTCTTTCGGCACCGGCCGGCGCTCTCCATCCCTCTCCGCTTTCCTTCCCTGCAGCGGGCAGCTCTTTCCAGCCATGTTCGAGGAGGCGGTGAGGGCTTTCACCATCAGCTACGACGTGCTGAACGAGGCCAACACCTTCTGGGGCGGCGAGCTGCTGACCGGCCGGGTGGTGGTGGAGGCGGCCAACGAGCTGCGGGCCGAGTCGCTGGACCTGAGCGTCAGGGGCGTGGGCGAGACGCGCTGGTCCGAGAAGGACGGCGACGAAACCCTGCACTACAGCGCGTCGGCGACGTACTTCAAAGTGAAGCAGCTCTTGATACAGAAGACGCCAGG